CGCCCAACCATCTGAGCCACCCAGGCACCCCTCAATCTTTTTTTAATGGATAAATAATCCATCATAGAAACCACTTCAGAAATAAGCAAGCAAACAAACAAACATGCTCATGTCAGGTCTTAAGTTTTCTTCTTTTGTACATGAGGCTACCACTAAATGGAGAGGAGATTTCCTTAAGGTGAGCTGCAAAGTGAACATACAAGAGTCTGAATAACAGAGCTCTGCTTTACCGGCTCCCATCGCCCATTCCCCTTGAGCAACCATGATCAATGCCAAGGCATCTAAATGATGACTGTTGAAATGTCAGCCCCCTGAAGAATAGCCAGGTGTCTTCAGGCAGTGATTGGCAAAGAGGCATCTAAACCATTATGAGGCTTGGCTTGTAAAAAGCTCTTCTGGGGTGGGGGCGGGCGGGAGGCCATTTTTTAAAAAACTTGATGAACATTCTCCCCCCCCCCCATATATTCAGTATTTTTAAAAGAAAATAAAACACAACTAACCATCAATTCCACATCCCATTTTCATAAAAGGTAAAAAGTAATTTGTTTAGATAGAGTAATGGGTTAAACAGCTTGGGCCTTATGAAATTCCAAATTCCTTCCTAGCACATTTCTCATTAACAATCCAGTGCCCATTTCACACCTTCCTATGAGGGCCTGACATAATTTATCTTTGATTGGTATAATCAACACACTACAGAAGTTACTCTTTTCCTTTCAGGAGCATTTAATTTTGAGAACTAAAACACATATAAGCAAAAGATTGCCCGTATGAAACAGGGGGCAATAGGAATTACACTTTTTTTTTTTTTTTTCAGGTTCTGCATCCATTTTTGCATGCTGAATTGTCTGGTACAAATAGCTTCAGTGAGGAGTTTAGTTTCGGTTTCAGGTTGCCTCTTCAGGTACTGATGGGAGGGAAGGCTGAGACCCAGGGCACAGTGGGTGCTCCACTTAGTTGAGAGAAAGGAAGAACTAACAAGAAACTCTGAGACAAAGCTAAAGTTTGAAAGAGGCCCAGCACTAGGCTGCCTCAGGTCAGCCTTCCTGGCAACAGGCGCGTTTCAGAGAAAGACTTGACGGGGTTTTGAAAAGGGACAGGAGAGTTGGACGGAGTGATCCTTCCTTGGGCTGGAACCAGTGGACAGCCAAAAGGAGCCTAGGCTAGGAATGGTGGGAAGTCCCAGAGGTGATTAAAAATCATAGTGATTGAACATTCATTCTTTTACACAAACCATTCAATTCCTAAATGAAGCAGGCGAGCTTTAGGCGTGCCTGCATCGATTTCTGTCGCTTAAAAGTTTAGGAACGTGAACCGGAACAGGGTCACACGTCCGAGGGCCTCAGAAAAGGCTGAAATCCTAGTAATTCACGGAAAGACCCGAAGGTCTTCCTGCTCGTTTGTGGAGTTGGTGGCGTGTCTGGTCACCAGCACAGCGGGCCCTGCGTGGGTTTAGAGGAGCTGGCATCCTTGCTCTCCCAGGCCTTTACACTCTCCTCCCCCGGGGCCCGCCAACTCTCCCGGGTACAAAGTACAGCAGGGACGCAGGCGGAGCCTTTCCAAGCGGCGCAGCCGTATCTTTCCCCAGGGAACACCTAGATGGGATTTCCAGGACCGCCACTGGCACGTTCGGGAGGGAGCCTCGGGCTCCTTCCGGGCTCCCAGCCGCGCGTCCTCCTTTCTGCGGTCTATATTCCTCTGGGAGACGGAGGCGGCTCTGGGCACTACACGCTTTATTAAGAGATTCGCAACGGTTTACTCAGGCCCCTAAATCACTCCCGCCCGCGAAGAGCTGCCTGCGGTGTCGTACGGCAGAATCTCCTAACGCACGGTTTTTGTCCTTCCTCCTCTTAACACGGCTCAGGGTCAGTTTCAGCGACTCTAAGAGTCTCTGCGTGGGCGCCTGTGCGGGGGTCCGGCCCAAAGAAAGGAGTTGCACTGCGCGAAGAACGTCACCGTGCCAGCAGACCGCACAGGCACTTTGCACGGGCCATCTACGCGTCGGTCTGGAGGTAGCGCGCCCTGGGTAAGCGGGACCGAGAGCTTCCGCGGCGGGTCTTGAGGGGCAGGGCTAGCGGGAGGTGAGGGTTTAGGGCCCCGACCGATGGGATGGGAGTGGAGTTGGGGTCTCTCAGGACGGGGCAGCAACTGGGGGAAACTGAGATGAACTCCAGACATCTGTGCCCGGGGTCTGCTTCACTGGATAGGAGCCGGGTGGGGTGGGACAGATTCTACACCTTTGGTTCCCACCCACCCTCCAGGAAGGCGGACAAACTCCCCAGTTCTCCCTGAGGGATGGGTGAAGGGTACTTCAGGGGACCCCCCAGAAGCAGCTGCTGGAGTTGATCCGAGCCCAGGACTGGGAAAGAAAAAAATCGGGCGAGGGGTGGTAAGCCACCTATATCGCCTTCCTCCCTCCTTTTCTCCCCCACCCCTCCCTTTTCGTAGCTGCTGACGCGCTGGTGGTGTCTATTAATCATTCAGCAGCCCAGAGCCGCGCCACTTAATGGCTGTGCGGCGCGGGGCTTCAGCCTCCTGGCCTCCCCGCTCCACGCTCGCGTGTGCCCGGGCGCCCCGGAGCTGCAAGCGGCGGCGCGCAAGCCTCCGCTGGGCAATGCGCCCTGCCCGCGCGGGTCAGAGCCAAGCTCCGCGTAGCCGCTGCGTGCTACCCCGGGTGTCCGGCAGCAGTGAGCTGCGGGCGGGAGGGCGGGGTGCCGAGTGAGGGCGCGAGCGGCGGGGGCGCGAGGAGAGCGCCCCAGCCCCAGTAGCCCCATCGGCCCCCAGCAGCTGAAATGTTCCCCAATGGCACTGCCTCCTCTCCTTCCTCTCCTAGCCCCAGCCCGGGCAGCTGCGGCGAAGGCGGCGGCAGCAGGGGCCCTGGGGCCGGCGCTGCGGACGGCATGGAGGAGCCTGGGCGAAACGCGTCCCAGAACGGGACCTTGAGCGAGGGCCAGGGCAGCGCCATCCTCATCTCTTTCATCTACTCCGTGGTGTGCTTGGTGGGGCTGTGTGGTAACTCCATGGTCATCTACGTGATCCTGCGCTATGCCAAAATGAAGACGGCCACCAACATCTACATCCTGAACCTGGCCATCGCCGATGAGCTGCTCATGCTCAGTGTGCCATTCCTGGTCACCTCCACGTTGCTTCGCCACTGGCCCTTCGGCGCGCTGCTCTGCCGCCTCGTGCTCAGCGTGGACGCAGTCAACATGTTCACCAGCATCTACTGTCTGACTGTGCTTAGCGTGGACCGGTACGTGGCCGTGGTGCACCCCATCAAGGCAGCACGCTACCGCCGGCCCACTGTGGCCAAGGTGGTGAATCTGGGCGTGTGGGTGCTATCGCTGCTTGTCATTCTGCCCATTGTGGTCTTCTCGCGCACAGCGGCCAACAGTGATGGCACGGTGGCCTGCAACATGCTCATGCCTGAACCCGCTCAGCGCTGGCTAGTGGGCTTCGTGTTGTACACATTTCTCATGGGCTTCCTGCTGCCCGTCGGGGCCATCTGCCTGTGCTACGTGCTCATCATCGCCAAAATGCGCATGGTGGCCCTCAAGGCCGGCTGGCAGCAGCGCAAGCGCTCGGAGCGCAAGATCACCCTGATGGTGATGATGGTGGTGATGGTGTTTGTCATCTGCTGGATGCCTTTCTATGTAGTGCAGCTGGTCAACGTGTTTGCGGAGCAGGACGACGCCACGGTGAGCCAACTGTCGGTCATCCTCGGCTACGCCAACAGCTGCGCCAATCCCATCCTCTATGGCTTCCTTTCGGACAACTTCAAGCGCTCTTTCCAGCGCATCCTGTGCCTCAGCTGGATGGACAACGCCGCCGAGGAGCCTGTCGACTACTACGCTACCGCCCTCAAGAGCCGCGCTTACAGCGTGGAGGACTTCCAGCCGGAGAACCTAGAGTCCGGAGGCGGTGTCTTCCGTAATGGCACCTGCACGTCTCGGATCACGACTCTCTGAGCCTTGGCCACGCAAGGGCCCTGCGCAAGGCAGGAGGAGGAAGATGAGGAGGAAGGGAGGCCGGGTGCGAGAGGTGAAAGTATCCCAGGCGTCTGGGTGCGGTGGGGCAAAGTGGGGCTAAGACACTGTGTGCGCGCGGGGGGGAAGAGACCCGGGAAAGTCGCGCGACAAAGGTGGAATTGGGCACTTTGCTTATAAATTGGGAAGGCTCGCGGGCCCCTTTCTCCTCTGTCTGCTACTTTCGCTCCCTCCTCCGCTGCGCTTGCAGTTCTGCGCCCCGCTGTGCTCCCCACTCTGTAACTTCGATCTTTCCTTCTGCCCCGTCCTGCAGGTGCAGATCATGAACTCATAAACGTCGTCAACTCAGCCTGACCCTCAGCCCGGCCAGCGGTTATTTTTGTTTAAGCTGAGCCGCAGTTACCGCCACGGGTTTCCCACGGGGTGAGTCCCCAGCTCGCCCTCCGCCCCGCCCTGCCGCGCCCCTCCGCTCGCCAGATTTTGCCTGGTGCCCCTAGCGGAGTATGGAGAATCACCTCTCTCCCTTTGCTCAGCTCTATTTGAAAGAAGTAGGACTCGGGAATGAACTAGGCGGTTGGTCTTTTCTCCTACTCTCGGGTGAAGTCGTGCCCTTCCCGGAACCCCATCACCACTCCCATTCCACCCAGGGCGGAGCCAGGTGCTTAGTAAAATCGGTCCCGCGCTCCGAACCCCAGGCATTCTGCAGTCCCCATCCAAACCCCCTTTGGAGCAAAAAAGGAACTGAACGAGCGACCCAGGAGTTTCTAGAAGATTCCGGGGTTTGGCGGAGAGGGGGTTGTAATAGAAACCACCCTCTTTCCCGGCTCAAACTAGCGCTTTTGATTTCAAAGACCAAGTGCTGGGCACTCCCGGGACAACAACGCTGGTCTGAGTTGGCCTGGCAGGGCAGGGCGTGCTTTCTCGGGGGCCGCCCGGGAGTCTGCAGCTACACTACGATTGCTCCCTCACCTAAGCCTCTGGCCGTGCAGATGCGGAGCAACCACAGACTCGGTTTCCTGCCCGGGTTTATCTCGAAGACCAGGCACCGGGCCAGGACCTCGGTGGCGCCTTGTGAGCCTTGGCCAATCGCGAGCGCGTTGCTGCCGCCCGCAGGCTAAAGAGTGAGGCCTGCCCGGCCCTTGAAGGTTGCTGCCTTTCAAGCGGTGCCTAATAAGTTATTTCTTGCTTAACATATTTATTTATTTATTTGTGATGTTTGAGAAGGTGTCTCTGCTTTGCTTTTCTTTACTTGCCTAGCCTAGGGCCTCTCCTTCAGGATACTGGGGGTGGGATTGGAGGTGGCAGTGGGGGGAAGTTTTCTCCCCAAGGACCTCTCAAAACCTCTCCTCTCTGTTGGGCCCTCTTTTCTTATCCTTCTATTTTTGCTTGTGTTCAGTGAAGTTTGGAGATTCTTTTATACTTTTTCTTATGTAGTCTCTTGTTTGTCTTAATAATAAATAAATAAATAAATAAATAATAACGTGGGTGAGCCACCTCCCTCCCGTGCAGAGTGGAATGTCCTGAACTCCTTTCAACATCACCCTATGTATGATTTTATTTATATTTTTTACATATTACGTCTATTGATCTTGCTCCACTGTCATGAGTCCATGAAACAATGTGAGGCTGGCAGGAGCTCTTTCAGATATGGGTGTTCAAGCAGCGCTCAGCTCACTCTGGAGCCGAGAAATCTGATGCACACAGATTTTAGTCGGTGCTGAGAATGTCCCTGTTTATGTCCCTGCATCTTCTAGGTTCCAGCATAGACGATTCTAATAGACAATCTAGTTAACATTGTCACTTCTTTTGAACACATTGAAAGTAGAATAATTTGTGTCTGTGTTTAATCTTAACAATTACATTGGAAGCCTGATCAGGGCAAGGACCAATAATTTTACTTCTTTGTATTTCCTGTATTGCTTTAGTATGCTGGCATGTACATAGTAGGCACTAAATACATGTTTGTTGGTTGACTGTTTAAGTAAGCCAGGGTGTGCTACAACCACTGGGAGCTGCTAAGTCGGGGGCTCTTCGTTCTCTCATTGACATGACACACAATGGTTGAAATCATGGGAAAAGATGTTTTGTGTAATACTTGCTTCAAGAACATTGTGCTTTCCTGAAAGCAGTAACCAAGAGTTAAAATGTCTCTAACGTTTTGTTTAAACTAAGGAACAAATATATGCTTTTGGTTATACATCATAAAGTTGAGATCTGTCCCTTGATAATAATATATATTATTACTCCTTTGGAAAATAGATTTTTAATGGTTAAGAACAATGAAATTTACAAATCTTAAACATTATCCTCTTAAGAGGATACAAATCTAGTGTTCTTACCCTGTTACCGTTGTAATATGAACGAAATAAACAAATGTATTATGTTGTTGTAAGTTGTCTGATTTTGCCAATCGAATTTCACTGTTTTAAGGAATTACTTAAAAACACATATGCGTGGGCTTGGTTGCTTTGTGTTTCACTTAGATTTTAAGGAGAACAGTTCCATATTACCTTTGGAAATTTTACCAAGATTGGGGTTATACTTTGAATTGTTTTTTTTTTTTTTTTAAAGAAAATTCTGTTAGTTCAGAGAAAGAGGAAAAACAACTTTGAGTCAGTATGACTAGGAAGCAGTGTAGCAGCCCATACTCTCTCTGGTTCACTGTTGTTACCAAACTAACTAGAGGGTATCTCAGTCTCTCACAGATTAAATTACTGTCTGCCCCCTTTTAGACCTCAGACTTCACTGTGGGGACTAAGTAATTGCTGACTTACATCCCAGGGAGAGAAAACATAGGAGAGGGAGAGATGGAAAGATTGCCTAAAGGTGTTCCAGAGGAAATGGGTAAAAGAAATAGAAAAATCAGATTTCAATGTAAGAGAAGAGAGTCATATTTTATGCTTTGTTCAGTGATGGCCATTTCCATCCCTAGAAGAATTTAAGAAGGTACTAGAGGAATTTTTTTTTTTAAACAGATTTTATTTTTTAGAGCAGTTTTATTTTCACAGCAAATAAGTGGAAAGCAACATTTTCCAAACAGGCAAGAGCAGTGATTCCAGAACCAGAGTGGTGGGCAGGGGGGTCTCAAAAAATTTCAAATGCTCAGTAACTCTAGGCTTTATACTTCTATACATTATCTCAATATGACTAAGGATAGCTGGACTGTTGTCTTTTTAAATTATTTTGAAAAGCTATAGCAAGATGGTAAATTGAACTTGGAACATTATTCCAAGACCCTTTCAACTGGCTAGTGGGGAGAAAAAAAATTAAATAAATATTCAAACATCTAATTAAGTTTATTTAAATAGCCATTTTAAGAAAAAAATTCCAAATTTCATTTGAATGAGTTTAGACAATCTCCCAGCTGGCCTCCTTGTCCTCTCTAGTTAGCCTTAAAATGGCTTTAGAGTGAAGATTGGAAAGAGGCTTTACGCATCCTAGTGGAGGAGATGGTGTGGGGGGAGGGGGTCCTCGTGAAAGGGGCCCTCTTTGCCCTTTGCTCTCTGGAAACGGGTGCTTTTTCCCCTCAAGATGATTCCTGTCTACAGTTTGTTGAAATCTGCAGCTTCTGGAGTCTATGATCCAACCTCTTAGCTTGGTGAGGGCCATACTCAGCTTCTGTGGGCCGCGGCCCTCTCAGGGTCTTCCACAGTGCTCCTATAGCCCACTGGTCTGGGGGGGCTACCCCAGCCTCTGCAAAGGACTGGTCTCACCCTGCCATAGACAGCCCCATGCTGAGCCTCTTGGCTCATGACTAGGGGGATCTAGGGTGGCACTGGACTGGTGACCCTCAGGATCTCCTGTCTGTATTTTCGTGTGGCTCTATCGCAGGGCTTTTCCATCTCTCCTTACCTTTGTCAACTTCACTTCTTCAAACCATTCACCTCACCCCACATCCCCTTTCCACTAGAGGAAAAAGATGGGAGAGGAGTCCTTTAGTCTTAGCCCTTGATGTGCTGAAGCAAATAAAAGGATTTAGCAAATCTCTGTGCAATCCCCTGCCCCCATTGCCTCACCTGATTTTCAAGCCTTTTAGCATTGCCTAGAAGCTGAAGATAAGCCTTTTCCTGTCCTAAGGTGATGAGCCTCACCTTGAAATGAGGCACTGCAATGAAACAAGATTTATGGAGGAAGTTAAAATGCATCATTTTAGTGTCTATGAACTATTACTACCTCTCTTACTAGGGATCTCTGTGTTCCCAGAGAATTCCTCAGGCCATCTTCTCACACGATATCCCCCACCCTCAAAAAAAGGATTATGTTGAAAATCTTTAATGCCTCATCGAATTTAACCCTGACCATTATACAAAATGCTGTATGCATGATTTTAGCCTGAGAAGAAAGGCAGGGTGTTCTCCTGGAAAATATTATGGAAGATACATTAAAAAAAAAAAAAACACAACTGTGATATATTTCCAACTTATTTTAAACAAATGTTAGAGATATCATATTTATATCAACCTTCTAAAAAACACCTTGGTAGTGGGGTTGCTTCGTAAATCTTGCTCATCACCTTCTTTATTCCAATGTACCACAGCAGAGAGTTAGATACTCAACTGAAATGATAGATAGATGTTCACAAAATTATTACAGTGGTGTGTGCTTAAGAAAATAAAGTATTGAGGGCGCCTGGGTGGCTCAGTTGGTTAAGCGACTGCCTTCGGCTCAGGTCATGATCCCGGAGTCCCGGGATCGAGTCCCGCATCGGGCTCCCTGCTCAGCGAGGAGCCTGCTTCTCCCTCT